GCTTTTCCAGCGCCCCCAGGGGGCGGTGCTTCCCCACGGCTCCCCCCCAGCCTCAGCTGCAGCGGGGCAGCGGTGCCCCTCACTCTGGACCCGCAGCCCCAGGCCTTGCCCTGGCTGCTGGGGGCTGTGACCAGCAGGTCCTCTCCTCCCCCTGGTCTCTTTCCCCCTTGGGCGACCCTTGCCCCATCCCATGCCTAGCTGGGGCCTCCAGAAAGCCCCCGTGCCTGCCCATTTTGAGAGGGGAAACTGAGGCACAGGGGGACGTGCTCACCTGAGCCTATGAAAGCTGAACGGGACTTGAGGCCTTGCCCTGGCTGCTGGGGGCTGTGACCAGCAGGTCCTCTCCTCCCCCTGGTCTCTTTCCCCCTTGGGCGACCCTTGCCCCATCCCATGCCTAGCTGGGGCCTCCAGAAAGCCCCCGTGCCTGCCCATTTTGAGAGGGGAAACTGAGGCACAGGGGGACGTGCTCACCTGAGCCTATGAAAGCTGAACGGGACTTGGGAGTCCTGATTCTGCCCAGCCCCTGGGGGCTAAATACCAGTCCCCACTGGCCAGGGAGGGAACCCAGGAGTCTGGGTGACCAGGCCGGCTAATGAAGGAGGTCACCCATGAAGGGCTTCAGCACTGCCGTGCCAGCCTCCCTGTGCCCGGGTGCTGAGGCCACGTCACTGCCTGGGCCAGGCGCCCTCCCACACCTCCGTCAAGGTCCCCCCCCCTACCAAATAGACCCCGGCGATTTGCTCCGGCCTCCAAGGCAAATATTTGCTCGGCGGTTTATGAGAGCTAAAACCCCGGAGCTGAGCAGGACCGAGGAGATAGGCAATTGTTTGGCCTTAATAAAAGCCATGATTAGCCCAGCTCAGCAAATGGGGGGAGGAGGGGTGCAAAACACCCCACGCCAGCTCAGCACCGGTGCACCAGGCAGTGGGATTCCCTCGCAGCTTGCAGGACCTGGTGCCACCATGCACGGAGCCTGGCACGGGCTGGGATCCCTGGGGCCATGCTGTGTTGCTGCTCAGAGGGGCCCGACGTCCTCCAGGCAGCGGGTGCAGCCCTAATGCCAGCAGCAGGGACCCAGGCACGTCCTGCTGCAGCCGGCTGGGACAGGGCAGGGCGGAGGTCAGTGCTCAGAAGTGCAAATCTGGCTCTTGAAGCCAGTGCCCCTGTGCTGGGGCTCCGTGCCAGGGGCAAGGGAGCTGGGCCAGTAAAGTTCCCTGCCCAGAAGGCATCTCAGGATGGTCGCGGGGCCAGGGCAGCAAAAAAGAACCCAAATCAAGTCAGGTCTAGGGGAGAGAGCACAGCGTGTGCATCTCACCCACAACCCACGCAGGTATCCGTGGCCTCTCCCCTCCCAAACAGGAGGGGGTGGGGGTTAGATGGGAGCAGGGGAAAGCCACGTGGCCCCATCCTGCCTGCCCCAGAGCCCCAGGCTTTGCAATAATCTACGATGCAAAGGGCTGATGTTCCCCAGATGCCAAGAGATAGAAAATAGCAGCCCCTGCTTTGGGCAGAATCAAGGGAGCCCAGTTCCCCGTGGTCCTCGAGGAGCCTCAGGCTCTCAGATGTCCCCATGCCAGTGACGTCCGGCTGGAGCCAGAGCATGGGGGCCAGGACCCCGGGGGAGAGCAGATGCCCACAAAGCCTCTGCTTTGCAAGGGGCACCAGGCTCAGCCAGGCCAAGAAATGCTGGGTTTTCCTGCCAGGTCTCCAGGCTTGTGCAGCCTTGCTGGACTCAAGGGCCCTCGAGCAAGGGGGACCACGGGAGAAGGGAATAGTGGGGGGGCTCCCAGGCCGAGAGATGAGGTCAGTGCATGAGACCCCGGGCTGCGCGTCGGGAGTGAGGGGCAGAGCCTGCACCTGCCCCCAGACACTCTCCCTGCTTTACGGAGGCAGGCCGTGCTGCGTCCCCTGCAGCCGGGGGGTCACAGCTCCTCCAGCCCCGCTGGGAATGGCCCTCACCAGGGAAGGAACACAAGCTTGTGTGCTCAGGCAAGGGGAGAGTCTGCGGCAGGCGATGGCAGTACAGAGCCCATGACACGTGGCAGGCAGTGCCATGCTCAGCCAGGAGGGGGCAGCAGTGCCAGCTATCTCAGACATTTTTGATGCAGGGTGTGCATGAGGCCACAGCCTTCCCGCTGGGTCACTCCCATCCACCTGCAGACCCCTAATGAATGGGCCTGGCTCCCAAAGCGCCCAGAGCCCCCGTGCCTCAGTTTCCCCACTTCCTGCACGGATGAGCTTTTTGGGTGACTGGCAAATAGGGGCAGGGGGTTGAGAGAGCAGGGGATGCCCGAGCACTGGTTGGTGGCGGTGGCGACTAGGGCACAGGGAGGGCATCAGAGCAGCCCCCAGGCTGCTGTAACTCGTAGCCGAGGGTCGTCTTCCCCCCTCTCAGCAGCCAGAGGCTCTAGGGCAGTGTGGAAATCCTGGGGCGGTCTCTGCAGACCTTAGCCCCTCTCACTCTGGGCTGGCTGGGGGGTAGTGAAAGCGCTGGGCACAGCTATAGGTCCGCGGGGCACTGGGCAGCAGGCCTGGCCCTGGGGAGCAGGGGGCAGCATTCGCTGCCCAGCACCCGACGTGCACACCAGCCCCCAGCCCTAATCAGCCATGTGCAAACAGGGACTAATGAGCAGAGCAAACGCAGGGTGAGCGAATAATGCGCAGAGCAAACACTGGAGGGGGAAAAGGCAGGAGGGGGGAGAGTGGGTGGCTGCTCTGCCCCCAGCCCCGGGCTGGCGGAGAGAGGTTCTCCAGGGAGCCGGTGCAGACAAGGGCTGGGGGTGTGGGGGGACCTGTGACAGGGCGTTTCCAGTGCACCCAGCTTCCCCAATGCAGCAGCCCCGAGGCCAGGGGCTGCAATAGAAGCTGCTGCCACCGGAGCAAGGGAGATGCCGGGGGCTTGGGGTAATATCCTAGCCTCCCTTGCTGCTCCTGGGGCTGTCCCGGCTCCAGCACCTCTGCCCATCTCCAGCCCTGGGAAGAATTGGGCCCGTTTTGGGGCCCGTGGGCTGGGAAAGCAGGGCCTTGGCGCGCACACAAGGGATGAGGGGCCGTGCGAGAGCTGGGTTGCATTGGGGCGGGGGGGCAGCAGGATCAGAGCTGGCGCCCAGCCGCGGCCACCTGCCTGCGTACAGTGTTTTGCCCTGGACTGAGAGAAAAACCTGAGCATCCCCGAGATGCCTCCGTGGTTTGCTGCAGGGAGCGTGAAAGGCAGGGACTGGAGTTCAGGGAAAACTTCTTCCCCGTCGGAGCAGCAAGTCTCCCTGGAGCGCAGACAACTGCATTAGGGGGACGTTGGCCTCAGCGGAGGCTGGGGGGTCTGTGGGGCGGGGTGCTACAGCCCATGCAGAACCACAGCGGGGGTGTCTGTGGGGCGCAGTGCTACAGCCCATGCAGAACCACAGCGGGGCCCTGCCGTGTGTTGTCCTCAGGGTCAGGCCAGCCGCTGAATTTGGGATCAGGAAGAGGAGGGGGGCTGCCTTCCTCGCCCGTTTGCTAGGACCCCCCTTGCGTGGTTCAGGAATCACTCAGAGCCAAGGGTCCGACTCAATCAGGGCCAGCGCTGAGTCCTGCGAGCCTTCGTGCTCTCCTGCGCCAGCTGCCTCTTGCCGGAGCCTCTTGAAAGACACGGCCCCCGCATTTCCCTTCCCGGGCACGCATGCCACCGCCGTCACACCCACCCCCGGCTCGCCACGGGGCTGCTCATCAGTTGCTCAGTTAGCCTCCGAGGTACCCTGGGCTGCTGCGTGGATCTATGAGTTTCCCAGGACATGTCAGCACCGCCGTTGCCAGCCCATCAGTTCCAGTTGTGATGTCCCGGGGCTCGGCTGTCTCTGCCTGTTATGGTGGTTGTCTATCCGGGACCTTCTCAACCGGCACAGGTGTCTCGGTGCCACCATCTCTCCTGCTTCTGGTATTTGGAAGAGGAGACGTTTTCCCTCACCGGTGGCATCCCACGGAGGGACGGCCACCCGCGATGTCCCCCTGCATGCAGGCCATCGTCGTGACGTGGTGGCAGCTCCCCGTCTCCTTCCATCCCTGGTGACTCTGAGCCCGGCTCTTGGTTGAATGCGATGTTAGCAGGCGACAACCCACGCAGCATCGACGCCGTCCCTTAAGGAGGCCGAATGCGGGTCAGAGTCTCGCTCTGTAGTCTCCGTTAGCAGGCACTTGGTATCCTCCCTACCCCATTTCTCACCAGCCTGTTGGACTGAGGATAATAGGAACCAGCAGCGACAGGCTGACATTTGTGCGTCGCTGCAAATGGCTTCAACTCCCGCCCATCGTGTGGCGTCAGACGTCGCTGCATCAGGTGTGTCCTGTCTAGGGAGATCAGACTGGGGCACGGGATCCATTTAGCTATGGAGCCTTCCAGTGCAGCCGTCTCGGGGAAGCAAGGCTAATCGCCTAAGACAAGGTGGTTTTCCCCATCATGAATTTATGCCTGCTTTGCTTCAGGGATCCATTTTTTTCTGTGTCACCGGCGCAGGCTCTTTCACTTGACTTAGCCAATATTTGGGGTTTGTGTAACGAACCTTGACAGTTTCCTCAGTGTTACTGTTCACTTGAGGCCCGTATAAAACAGCCGTGGCTCCTCTCTTGGGGTTTTCAGCATGTGAATGACTCTCCCGTAGCATTTTTTAACATCATTTCCAGTAGCAACCGAAGAGTCAGTCTAGTGCCTTTAAAGCACGCCCCGTGAGGTATTGAGAATTCCCTCTTTAACTGATCATCAAAACTGGGAAGAGACTGTTTCAGCCACAAAGTCCTAAATGACTTTCCAGGGGTCTCATCTTCATCAGTGTCTC